TTGTGCTCAAATTCTATTTTGATGGACTTTGAATTATTTTTGAAAACTTTGAATAAATTCAATCAAGTCTAAAAACATTTTGCCTTGAATTTGTTATATCAAAATATTATAAAACATGATTCAACAATCTCCCCCTTTTTGATACAACAAAACATTTGAAAATTTATTTTTGACAAAACTCCCCTTTAGTAAAACATTTAATGAAAAAGTGACATATTTTGGAAAATGTTAAAGCTCCCCCTTTTTCATTCTTAAAATTGAATTTTTCAAACATATACTTCTCCCCCCCTTTTTTATATAAAAAAATAATTCAAACTTTTAAGTTCAAAAATAACAATGGGAGTGAGTGGTAATTTTATCATAAAAATCATTTGAAAAATCAAAGCTCCCCCTCAAAAAGTGCATTCCAAACAAAAATTTGACTTTAAAAGCTTGACACTTAAAAGAAATTGAATTTCAACAAATATGAACAAACATGTTAGTAGCACAAGAAATTCAATATATCCAAGTCTAATAAACTTTATGCAACACCAATTGTTGAATTTACATGCATGTGTATAAAGCTATTATTTTAAAAAAATTGATATCAATTGTTAGAGGGATATCATTTGCAATAAATCACTAGCATAAACATTTAAATTAAGGTCAAAAGTTAAAATTTGTAAAAACAAAGCATTAAAACCAATTTTGACCAAAATTCATTAGGATGAAATAACAGTTAGGAAAAATCATTAAAACTTTAGAAAATGTTCATCACAATTCTTTTCAACATACATGAGATATAAAAACATAAAATTATTTAAAATCAAAACTCATGCATGCTTAAACTAAATTAACAACCAATTAATCAAAATAAAAGCATTAAGCTTAGAGGTTACTCATTCATTTTCAAGTGTGGCTAGAGCATTTGAGTATCTTCATTTTCATCACCATTGCTCCCACACACCTACAAGAGATATATTTGGATTTTGGTATCCAAATTGCTTTAGATCCTTACATTAGTTTCAATTCCCCTTGTTCCTTTTGGAACCCATACTTGTTTAATTTTAAAACGTTTTCCTTTCTTTAAAGGACAAGTATGTTCCAAATGACCATGAAAATGACAATGTGAGCATTTTGCCATTTTTAAACACAATGATTTGTTTTTAGAAATTAATTCTTTTTCTTTTGTTAAGATTTCATGCTTGACATTCAAATCAAAATTTTCTTTTTCTAAATCACTGATTTTGATTTTTGAACGCTCTAAATCATTTTTCAAAGTTTCATTTTGTTTTTCAAAATCAACCTTTGCCTTCAAAATCAAATCATTTTCAACTTTAAACTTTGAAATTAATTTCTTATATTTGGAATTCATGGTCTCAAATTCTAAATACAACTTATCATAGGCAACTTGTAACTCATCAAAAGAATAATAATCTAATTCACTAGAGTTAGAAGTTACCATTGAATTTTCTTCGATGGTCATGAGGCATTGGTTGGCTACTTCTTCATCATTGGATCCATCTTCATCACTCGAATCCCACAAATGCCTTCTTTTTACTTGATCCCTTCTTCTTTAGAAGGGGACAATCATACTTGACATGCCCCTTTCCTTGATAATTAAAGCACACTGGGGGACTTTTCCTTTTGCTTGATTCAAGCTTCACTTCCTTAGAAGTCATGAATCTCTTAAATCTTTTGAAGAGCTTGGACATCTATTCTTCTTCATCATTATCTTCATCATCAACTTCTTAAATTGAGTCTTGATTGCTCTCATTGGTGGTTTTGAAGGCAAATTATATCTCATTCTTTTTGTTGTTTTTCTTCTCTTCATATTCTTCTTCCTCTACCATCAACTCATGGATGAGAAGAGAACTAATAAGCTCATAGAGAGAGAGACTTTAAGTTCTTAGCTTCGATAATCACCATCTTCTTTGATTACCAAGACTTTCGAAGAGAGTAGATCATCTTCCTCACAAGCTTCTCATTAAGGATTACTTCTCAAAATCGCTTGAGGCCGTTAACAATCACGAAAAATCTATCTGTTATAGCTTTGATGTCTTCATCTAGTTTCATCTTGAAATTCTCATAGTTATGGTTGAGAAGACTAATTTTGGTTTCCCTCACTTCATCAGTTCCTTCATGAGTGACTTGGAGTTTGTCCCATATCTCCTTGGAATTAGAACAAGAACATACTCTTCCATATTCATCCGGGCCTAATGCACAAAATAGAATGTGTATAACCTTAACATTGAGTTGGAACTTTTTATTCTCTTCATCACTTCAATCAGTCATCTTACCGGTTGGAATGAAGTATCATTTCATGATTGAGTTCCAAGTTCCAAGCTCCTAGATCATTGGCTTGAATGAAGAACATCATCCTATTAATCCAATAGGCATAACTGGCTCCATTGAAATAAGGTGACTTGTTGACTGGTTGAGAGTTTTAAATGTAGTAAGAGCTGGAGGTTAAAGTCATATTCTCGATTGCGTCAAGAATTTATAGAGCTTATTCTAGGACGTCTCAAGATTGTTAAACTTTCTAATGAGTCAAGCTTTGATACCAATTATTAGGATTGATAAAGCTTGTTTGAACAATTAAAAATGTGCCAAAAGGGGGTGAATTAATAATTTAAAGTTTAGGGAGTAAGGAGATTAAAATGACAAGGAAATTTGCACATCGATTTATAGTGGTTCGACTTCTCAACTAAGTCTACATCCACTACTTTAGCTCATCACCAAGGATTTTCTAACAAATTTACTAATTAGTCCTTTCTTTTTCAAAGAAAAAGAGATAACCTTTACAACTCCCTAGTTTTTCAATAGGCTAAACTAGAACCAAAACCCCTTTTACAAAAAGAAAAAATGTAAACAAGAAAACCCTTACAAGGTAGGTGTTTACAAAGTTAAGCTCACAAGAACAAAAATATTTACAAGAGAAAGTAAAATAAGAATAAAAAACTCTTCTCTTGTGTTTGATTGCTTGGATAGGTGTTATTACCCTTCTTCAAGTGTCCACAACTTGTTTTATAGGTTGGAATATGTTTATGGTTGTTTCTAACCGTTAGAGATATTTGTAGTCATTGGGGATGATTTTTCTGTAAAATAAAACTGCCCAGGACAGGGAGTATTGGTACTCCTTTAATGAGTATCGGTATTTCCTTTATAATTTTTAAATCAACTAGTTATTACTAGTCGTTGGGCATGACTAGTATCGATACTATGCTCATAGTATCGATACTACTATGTAAAGAGTATCGATACTACTATGTAAAGCAGTATCGGTACTACTTTGAGTATCGGTACCTATTTTGCATTCTAGAATTTGAGCAAGCTAGTAATATCGATACTACCCAGAGAGTATCAATACTTCTCTTACCTTTGGTATCGATACTACATGAATAATATCGGTATTGTTCATGAAGTATCGATACTCTAAGAACAATATTGATACTATTTTCCCAGAAAACTTGTATTGTGCTCAAATTCTATTTTGATGGACTTTGAATTATTTTTGAAAACTTTGAATACATTTAATCAAGTCCAAAAACATTTTGCCTTAAATTTGTTATATCAAAATATTATAAAACATGGTTCAACAGATTGGGCCCAAGAGTTTTAATGTTTGGTGATGAATGTTTTAGGAATTAGAAGGTTGAGGGACTAAAAGTGCAATTTACCTCTTATTTAAATAAAGAGCTAAAAATCCCCTTATTTTAAGAGTTTACCACTTGAAGTCATCCCTATTTCTCACCAAACACTCACAATCTTCTTCTTCCTCATCATTATCTTTTTTCTCATTCTTCTTCTATGTGAAATTTCTAAAGATTCAAGTCTAGTTGTTTTGCAAATGTAAGAATGTTTCTTTCCATCTTTCAAGCTTGAGTTTAAGCTCTACTTCTCTAGTTTTATCCATAGAAACCAAAATGTGTTTGAGAGTTTTATGAGGGTCCATGGTTTCTAGCTTGTATTTAGTGGATTAAATGTTATAGACGGAGTCTTTAATCTCAATCTATGAGCTTAATCGAGTTGATAATCACTTTTCTTACCTTATTTAGTGAAGAAAGTGGGAGAGAGATCAAAATCAAGAGGCAAATAAAAGTTGAATATTGGTTGAGTTGGGAGAGTTCTAGTCATCAAGGAAGAAAGGTAACACACTCACAACTCTTCTATACTTCTAGGAGTCATTAGAAGAGTAAGATGGTATAATGGTTGAGTTTGAGCATGATAAGCATTTTCATGGTAGATTTCATGTTTTAGAGTTATAAATATGTTTAAAGCCCTATTTATACTCCTTTGTATCTACATAAAACATAAATAATGTTTGGGGACCTCTTTAAGGTCTTTGGGATAGGAAAATATATATTTTCATGAAAAATTGGAGCTTTTTGCAGGCTAAGTCTTGATACTAGAGGGTCAATATCGAGACATGTTCTTCATTTCTTGGAAAAATCATGATTTTCTGGGCAGTGGTATCGATACCCATTCAAGAGTATCGATATCGAGGTCATGGTCTCGAGACCCCTAGGTTTGTTATCGAGACCGAAATTCCAGTAGCCATTTTAGTTTGGATACTTCCATAAAGTATCGAAACTATGTCATGGGTATCGATACTGAAGGGTCAGTATCGATACCAACAGTCTGTTTTGGGTAGAAAAGTTCGTTTTTAAGGGAATTAGACTCGAGGTACCCAACACTTCAGTATATCATCAAATAAGACTACTAGTGAGAACGTTAACAATGTCAAATCACATTTAGAAACGAGATTAATTAGGGTGACATAAAACTAGCCTTGATTGATGCTCGGGAAACAATCAGGACACCCGAGTTCCTTTAGCAAGATTATGGCGTTGAAGTATAGAATCAATTCAGATATATCCTTAGGTAATGAGCGAGGCACTTTAAGCTACTAGCTTGGGCGCAAGATCCGACACTCAAGGAGTGGCCTAGTCGAGGTGTTGACCGATGCAGGAATTTCGGATACCATCATTGGAAGACTAGAGGGGTGTATGAGCTCCAAGATGCAGAACCCTCAACCGCACATTGATGTCTACTATATAGTAGAGAGTGCAGTATACGAGTATACTCACTATTGCAGTTTATCAGTTAGCTTAAGCATGACATGAACATTTTTAGTATGCCTTAGTTGTTAGTATGACATTGGGCTAGTTAGCTCAATGCTCGGAATTTGTTTTCTTAATCAGGTTAGTCAAGGAGCAGTCCAAGGACCTTTTTGCCACCAGTGATCCAGATCAGACTATTGCAGAGTACGTCTCGAGTTCATCTTTAGAGGGCGTGTATATTTGTAAACCCTATTTTATATATTCGAGTTATAACTTATTTTAAACAATGGTATGTATGATTTGAATTATTATTTTTGGGAGCTCCTGATGTAAACTAATCTATTTAAATTGTGTTTGATTTATCTTAGCATGAGTATTTACAAACGGTTGTATTAAATGGAAAATTTAAAAAGAAAAATTTTGGTTAGTCACTCTGGTGGTTTCGCGTGGCATTCTGATATGTCGACTGTGTGTCGTACTGGTCTAAGGTGTTATAACACCTTTGACCAATATTTATCGGAATGTCACCCTTTCGTACAGCTTGACAATAAGGTAAGATTTGTAGGATGCGCTTTACCTACGTGTTGAAAATGCGTTTTTTACAGGATACACTTTCTATTGATCTAGTTTGCCACCTGGGAAGCATGTCCCAGGATCGCGCTTTACATTGACTTAGTGGCCGCCAGTTTACATTTTGAGCCCCTGAATGATATTATACGCATATAAACCTAACATTTGCTTCATATGCATCTCATCTGGCGGTTGATGCTCCGCCACCAACACCTTATGTAACCTAGTCTCCGATGTCATTCTTTTCACAATTTTCGTAGTTCTCAACAAACGATGTGATTGTTTATCATACACGTCCACATTCATTATTCCATGGAGGTCATTTTTTTACATTAAATCGACCCAACAGGATAAAGTTTATGTCTATGAAGATAATGAGAGTGAAGAGGAAGAATGACCTATATGAAGAAATCCTACTCGAAATAGACAATCACTGCTTGGTGAAACGCATTCACAAAGAAAACATTGTTAGTTTTTATGTTTAATGTCATGTTTTTTAATTGAATATTATGTTTTAATGTTATATTTTTATATTATGTTTAATTGAATATTTATATTTTTTCATATTTAGTTTTAAGGTTTAGTGTTATTTTCTTTTATGTTTAATGTTATTTAATTTAATATTATATGTTTTAATTATATATTTAATATTTAATTTTATTTCAAATTATTTCTTAAATAAAAATAAAGACATGTTTTAAATTATTTTATATATTTAATTTTAGGCCGGTTATCCTCCTTATGGTGGTGATAAGGAAAGTGAGTATATATGCATGATATTGTTCTAGAAAGAGAGGGATGATTTTGCGCAGGGTGGTGCTCGTGTTGGTTGACAACAAATATGTTTTTTAAAGGCAGAGGGGGGTTTAGGTGTTAGGGATTTGCGGTGTTGGAGTAGAGCTTGCAGCTTTCAGCTAATTTAGTGCATTATGGAAGTATAAGGCTCTATCTGGGTGGCTTGGATTAAGGAGTACGTTTTGAAAGGTGAGGATTACTGACAGATGGAGTGTAAGTCTCATTATAGTTGGACTTTGAGGAGACTACTAAAGTTGAGAATTGAAGCTAGTACCTTGTTTGGGGTTGGTGTGAGTTGGACAGAGGTAACTAGCAGATGGATTTGGGACAGAATTAGGGATAGAAGATCTAAGGTGCAGTGGCATGGGGTCATTTGGTTTCCTCTTCATAATCCTAAGCACGAGATTGTTGCGTGGCTGACCATATTTTACAGGTTGTCGACTAAAGTTAGACTTGCGCGAATGGGGGTGGCTTCGGATTAATTTTGCAACTTGTGTTGTGTTTCTGTTGAGACAAGGGTTCATATTTTCATGGAGTGTGGCTTTTCGTGCAATATTTGGGCGAGGTTTATGCAACTTTGTTGTCTGCAATTGGGGCAGCTTGGTTGGGACAATGCTATAAGATGTGCAATGGAGAATCTTAAGGGTAACACTCTTATTGTTTGTATCCTTAAACTTGCTTGAGTAGGGTTTTTGTACTTTGTTTGAGAAGAGCGTAATAACAGGCAATTTAGGGGGAGTTTCCCGATCAGTTGAGTGTATTGTTATTGTATTAAAGAGGTGGTTAGGGTTCGATTGCAATCTTAGTGCACTGATAGGCTAGATAGGGTGAACTCTGTTTTATGCAACAGTCGAGGGATCTATTCATGGATCTGTTCTTATTTGTATGTTACAGCTTTGTTGTTTTCTTAGATTAATCTACAATTTAATTATCCAAAAAAAAGAAAGAACAGTCAACAATCTTCCCAAAAATTTGCAAAAAAAAAAAAAAAGCAAAAACAATCCCTTAGATTAATCTACAACCCTTGTCCAATTTCATCAACATGCCCAAATCCCATTTTCTTTCTTCAGCTTTAATGTTCATCCGGTGTTTCATGGTTAGCTACGCCAGGATTGTGAGGAACCTCACCACCGATCAACATGCACTTCTATCATTTAAACACCAAATCACCAATTCTCACAACATTTTGGCCAACAACTGGACGACCGATTACTCGTCTGCAACTGGGTCGGCATCTCTTGCGCTGTTAAGCACGGTCGAGTCAGATCATTGGACCTTTCCAATTTGGATCTCATCGGAACCATCCCCCCACAGTTGGGAAACCTATCGTTCCTAGTCTCTCTTAATTTGAGTCAACGATTTCCATGACCATTTACCCAGTGAGTTGAGACAACTGAGTCGTCTGGAGCACATTGACCTGAACTCCAATCTCATTGATGGTGAAATCCCGTTGTGGTTTGGAAGGTTGGATGAAGTTTTAGATTTGATCCTTCGAAGCAATAATTTGACAGGCTTAATCCCTCCATCAATATCCAACATGTCCAGCTTGGAGAACTTGGACTTGAACCACAATCTCATCCATGGGAACATTAACTGTGAGATAAGCAAACTTGCTAATCTGAGGATACATCGCCTGGCTCATAACCGACTTTCAGGTCCCATTCCTAAACCCATTTATGGTATGTCCTCTCTGCGAATGATTTCTCAGCCACTCAATAATCTATCTGGTAGTTTGCCGGAAAACATATGTCGTCATCTTCCCGATCTCGAGGCATTTTTCTTGGAAGAAAATGAGTTGTAAGGTCAAATTCCAGTAAGAATAGATGAATGCAGGAACCTTCAAGGGTTAAGTTTGCATACCAATAGATTCAGCAGCAGCATTCCAAGGAAATCGTATAATCCTCGAACTATTATTTTTTTTCATTCTGACCATTATTTCAATGTGCTCCAGACGACTCAGTTGTCTCAACTCATATTTTAAATAATATAACAAAACTTTTATTTTGAAAAAATAAATTGAAGTATACTCAGTTCAATGAAAATTTTGATTTAATTATACGTATAATCCTCGAACTATTTTTTTTCATTCTGACCACCATTATTTTATCAATTTTATCAATTAGGTCATCCAATTATTTAAAGGTACTCAATTAAGTCACTAATCGTTAACATGTAATTGAAAAGGTGACGTGATAGTTAAACATTTTATTATAATTATACATTTAGACCTTACTAACATATTCTATTAAATTAGTGTGCATTATTAGATTGAATGATTAAATTTATTTTAATTTATCAGATATTTTCTACCAACCAGAGAATGAAATGTGTCATCTTATGATTAAAAGAAAATTTAAGGCGATAGGAGAATGGGGAGTTCAAACCTAGGTCTACTAGGTGATAAAGCGAAGGCTTTTCCGTTGAACCTAACTGAGTATTTGATTCTACTTGGACAACATATAATATATATACCCTATATCTTATTGTAAACATAACACATCTTAAAATTAAAAAGTATATTTTATTTTTTTTAAATTATCAAAGATAATTTATTATTATCTTAACTTAAAAATATATTTCATTATTATTTTAGTTTTGAAAATATATTTTATTCTTATATATTTTAAAATTAAGATAAAAAGTGATAATTTTTTGTAGTTTTTTTTATTAATCTGGGGTAAGTACAATGCAATATATGTTCAAAGAAATTTTCAACCATTTGACATTAAACGCTCACACCCCTGACATTCCTGGTGTTCGGACCCAGGACCTCAAGGAACAACAATAATTCCTTTACCGTTGAGGTCGTTTGGTTTATGCAATTTGGCCTAACCTAGTAGTGGAGGTATGGCTTAATTTACTGTAGGTTACGAGTTCAAAATTTTTTGTAGTTAAAATAAAAATAAAATATTTTTTTTTGTAGTTGAACTAAAAACATAATACTCCATTTTTGTAGTTAAGATAAAAATATAAAATATTTTTAAACTTAAAATAAGAATAATATATATATTTAAATAAAATAAAAATAAGATATACATTTTAAGTTAAGAATTAAATATATATTTCAAGTTAAAATAATAATAAAATATATTTTAATTAAAAATAAAAAACATATTTTTAAATGAAAATAAAAAATATATTTTATATTAAAATTAAAATAAAATATATTTAATAAGTTAATACAAAGTTAAAATATATTTTTAGAAGTTAAGATATATTTTAAGTATTTATACAAATATATATTATATATTAGAAGTTAATATATATTTTAAGTATTTATACAAATATATATTATATTTTGTCAATATTATTTCAAGTGATTGTCTCGACTTGGTGGTTTAGTACTCGTTACCTTACCAAAGAATCTTAATATCAATTCCCATTGAACCCATTTGTGTGTGGTTTAATTTATCTATATCAGACCAAAAAAAAAATAATTTATCTATATCAGAGGGTGATACGTCTTATTGGTGGTATTTAAATCTATCAAATTAAAATAAAATAAAATTTATCATTTAATTGAATAGTGACACGTGTCATCACACTTATTAACAGTAACACATGGCATCATCTTATTAGATTTAAATTTATTAAAATAAGATTAAATTAATAGAATATATAAGTAACATGGACTAAATATGTATTTTTATCAAAATATTTTATTGCCACATCATCTTATATGTTAAGTGTTAACAGCTAGTGGCTTATTGAATGTTTTTAAATAGCTGGATAACCTAATTAATTTTTTTAAAAAATATGGTCAAAATGAAAAGAGACAATATTAAATGTCTTACGTAGTTTACCCAAAAAAAATTCAAGAGAGTGAAAAATAGCTCACTGTTATCATCCCATTGTATCTTTTACTTTTATTATTATTCACAACTTGGTTGATCCCCGTGAAAGCTTGCTTTAAAGCTCACATTCATAATTATAATATATGATTTCAATAATATTTGATTCAGTTTGAAATATTTACATATCAATGGATTTGAGGTTATAGTCAACAATTGATTTTAGGTGAATTATCAAGAAAGAAATTCCCCTTTTAAAATGGCAGCTCTCCAATTTCTCTCAGTTTGGTCCTTATCCTTTGACTTTGCAATTTAATAGCTATACGATACTAAATTATAGCCTTTTAATTTGCAGGTGAAAATTCCATGGGAAATTGGAAAACTTGAGAGATTGGTTCATCTTTCTCCCAGACATACGAGTATTGTTGGTTCAATTCCGACTTCCATCTTCAACATTTCTTATTTGGAAAAACATTGCTCTCCAAAGCAATAGTTTATCAGGTATCTCAACACAAATTTCTCTTCATTTTTTATGTTTGAAGTTAATTTCTAAGAAAATAGTAGTTTTAATCAAAGAATTGTAAAAACAATTAATAATAATGCGTAATTAATCATGTAAACACAGCAAAACAACTCAATTATTTTGGTTTCTTATATTGAAATATTCAAACTTTTTTAGGTAGAATACCAGACCTGAGCGCTCTTTCAAACCTTGAGAAGCTTTATCTATGGGGAAATATTCCCAGCGGAAATATTCCAGATTCCATCCGCAATGTTTCTAAGCTCAGATTGTTAGAATTAGATACAAACTCGTTCTCTGGCCCAATTACTCTCATTCACATGTAACATCTTACATGAGACCAATTTCAGGATGGAAAATACTTTCTTCAATAATCCGAATATAAAATTTGCTTTTTAAAAAGCTATCAAAGAAATAAACAAATAGCAAAGCCTCGGTCGAAACTAAATTATAACTGATAAAAATTGCCCATGAACGATCAAAAAGTTAGTGAAAGAGGAGAGATAAAAAGACGCATCACTGAACTGAATGTTGCTGTGGTGTGAAAAAGAATTACCATAACCGTCACCCTGTTAACCAAAAACCCACTATGCCACCGGAGATAACCATGTAAATTGGCTTGAATCACTTGCGAACCATGAAAACACCGGGATGCTGTTTTTGTTTAACTTCTGCTTCTGAAAAGCAATTTACTTTATAAAAAAGAATTGGAAGAATAAAATGTCTCCAGTTAGATTTAACTCGCCTTCTCTTGCCGGCAACACTTTTCTCCGGCTTCCCGGTTTGAGAAAAAGGAATATGGGTTTGGTATCCGTGTTAGGAGTTCGGTGATTCTAGGTTAGACTTAGAATATGAACATCTGAATCAGCTTCTACGTATCCTATAATCCAAGTGGTCTCTGCCTATACCCATTCTTCATCCTTTCCAACAGTTTCTCTTTAGTTTTCCTCTTTTTATCCATCTTCAACCGATATCTTTCTTCCCTCTCCCTCTCGTAAATTCCTTGCCAATGTACTTCTCCCGTCAACGGCCACAACCACATCTTCCTCGGATTGTCATCGTCGTCTGAAGCCTCAGCTAGATCTTCATCCATGGTCTTTAATAATGTGAAATTAAAATATCTAGCCCACATAAATTCTTTCCGTTGTTCAACCGGATGCTGCTCTTCAAGCAAACCAGAGAGCGGCTCGATGTAGACCATCCTCCGCCCACTATGGTAAGCCCAGACATTGACCAAAAGTTCCAATACCCGACAGTAACATTGTTTTTTCTGCCCATTATTAAATAAACCCAGAAGAACAACATTAGATTAGACTCTCAATGGAACCTACAAATAGTATAGGAGCAAGGATTTTTGTTTTTTTTAAATAAATAGGAACAAGGATTTAAATAGCGGTCACGGATGCAATCTCGAAGCAGTCATGTTTTCCGCAGTTGCGGGAATAATGAATTGTTGACCATGAATATCAGTGGAGGAGAGAGCAAAACTGAAGTGTAGTGGTCATAATATCATGTTGCGGCTGCTATTTAAGTCAATTATAGAACAAAAGAGCTTACCTCGAGATATGTTGAGCCCAGCAAACATATACTGGGCTCACTAGAATTGGAATGCAAGGCATCAAGAGAATCAACAAACATCCTGCAGTTAAATTATATAAGTTTTCAGTCATCATCAACTGGATAAGATGTAATAAAATGAGTAGAGAACTTGTAAATTACCGTGAAAACATAACAAACTCCAAAAAGGACTTGGTTGGCATCACCCAGCTATGTAAGGAAGACCAGTGGCCTTCGTCATGGGGCATGGGAGGAAGTGCTTCCATATCCGATGGTAAGTTATACATCTTGCGGAAGGCCTTTTCAAAAGCAATTCTGCGGGCATTTAAAGCATCAAAACTACTCATACGGTTTTCATATAATAATAGAAGTCATCTAATATGAGCAGAAATTTATTGCAAGTTAAATCACAAAGCAGTTGCATGTAGAGGTAATTCAACCACAAATCTATGTGGACCCCATCACTTCATAGAAAGTATGAGTTTCCACCTAAGGATTATGTGGACTAAAGCACTCCCATTTTAATAGCTAACTTTTGGAGTGCAGTTCGCATAAGGTATCAGAGTTATCCACCATATACCTCAAATGCAATCATGCAGCCTACAAGGTGACACAAGAATAAAAATGCTTGCCTGGGGTTAAAATAAGCAGCACAGAGCCATAGCCCATGTAGGCGGCAGGATTGCAGAGCATGCCTGGATTTTTTATGATCCTAATTGCGAGGTCTGGGACTTGAATCCCTTCCTTGAGAGGTTTATTTGGAACTAATATCTCCCATCCTAAATATTACTTTTGGGGGGTGGTTCTCCTAAAGCTTATATCAATTGTCACCTCCAAGCCCATGAAACCTGACCGCCAGGTTCATGAACAACTGTTGACATTTGAATATAACAGCCATGAAGTAAATCCCAGCCAATGTGATTGTGTATCTTGTCACCCATTGAACCTGACCTTGGCCCATTTTCAGGAAAAAATATTGAACCCTAATCAGACCAGACTTAACAGCTGATAAATCACAGCTAATGATTCCCACCTATCTTGTTTTTTTTCTTATAAAACACGTCATTGAACAGGAAAATACAGCTTTTACTGTGAAAACTGAAGAACGATGTTTTCCTTGGTGCCATATTTAAAAGAGTAATAAAAATGGTACCATGATGGCTTAAGCAGAGAAAAAATGACACAATTTATTTGAAGTAAATCGTAACAGAAAGAAGAAACCAGGGAGAAAGCAACTTAACATAGAAGAGATCATATCTATGCTAGGGGCAGGGAAATAAAATAGAAGCAAGACCAATGGAATGGAAAGCAAGGGAGAAGTTGTATCACTCTATATCCACAACATGAAAAGATGGCAAGCAAAACACCCTCACTCAACTTGTTCAAAATTCAAGTACAAATCTCGGCATCAGCAAGTTGTTACAGTACAGATGAATCAGTCATCTATTATGCTTAATAATCATATATCCAACTGATATTAGGTGAAACAAACCTGCAGTGTCCAGCATTTAATATATCACACATCGACCAAAATGAAAGTGCATCATTGCTTCCTTCACCTGCACCATCAAAATCAAGGCGCGCCCAAAAGTACATTACATCTTTACTTCTTTGTATTGTTTTTTCTAGAACTTTTTCAGCTTTTGTGGACAATGAAACCTATTTCAAGAAAAAAACAGAGCAGTCAATAATTAAAGACTCTAAAAACTGATACTCGTACACTTAAGGCAATAGGTACCAGAATGGAAGTAAAAATGGATCTCTTTAGTTTTAGGATCTTTTTCATTTTTTCCCTTGGAACAGAATATGGATGGTTTAAAGGTAAAAGACCGTAGACAAATGGAAAGATGATATAATATGAGAGTAAACCACCATTCGTTAATTTATTTGAGAGTAGTGGAGAATGAAGTAAACTTAAGGCATTATCATTGAAACTTAAAGGCAGTTATTTCAATAAATAGAGGGGTAAAATGGAAATCATCAAGCAGAATACTGTCCTCTAAAATCCTCCAGACTGGAGGGGATTAGAAAATGAAGGTTCATGGGGATTGGTTAACCTTCAAACCATCCCCCAATACCCCACATTACTTATTTCCGAAAAAAGCACACAAATGCATATCTAAAAAGGATAGAGTTGCGTTATAGTCTGTTGAATGACACCCCACCACCCAAAAAATGAAAAGAGAGTAAGAAAATTGAAAACAAGGATTGGTTCATAAAACTCCATCTAATATTCAACATTTTGAACGCCATATTAAATATCAATATAAGGAATACCTTCCTACCAGCAGCGTGCCATGATTGAAAACCAATCCAAGGTCTCCTGTGAATGCTATCCACCCTATTTGCAATGGAGAATATTCCTCCAACTTCACATAATAAATCCCTATAGTAAGTGTCATTCAAAAGTGGAAGTCGGCCAACTGCATCCACATCATCTGATGTCAACCTCCTTGCTCTTCTAGACTGGCATATAAAATGAATAGTTACAAAATGTAGAAGGTATTTCACTCCATTTTTCAGACAAACTAAAAAGGAAAGGTCCTATAATAAAAGGGGAGATGAGAGAGACTAAGGAGCAGTATAGCACATGAAAGAAATCAGCTAGGTCTAAACAAGAAGACTACATTAAGGAACAAGGATAGAGGTGAGGTAGAATGATGGTGAGGAAGTTATTATCCGACAGTCTCTTGAGCAATCATGTTTCTATGCACATTTCCAAGAAGACTAAAGTTACGCAATAATTAAAAAAAAATAGAAAAATCAAAGCATTTTCATCAAGAACCATAGGAATATATTATTTATACAACAATTTCTGCAAAGTGATTTGTCTACATCATATCACACTCAACAGTTAAGTATAAAGTTTCCCAATCACAGAAACACTTATGAGAAGGTGATGAAGAAAAAAAAAGATTGATTAAAAGATAAAATGTCAAATATGGATCAGGAAAAACTCACAAGGCTTAGCCCACGGTACAACGATTCATGGTGCAAGAATGGCCATGCCCCAGCTCCACTATAGATCTCATAAATGCATACAGTTTGACCTGTTCTTTCTAGCTCTCCCTCATCTCTTTCGTTTACTTCAAACCTCAGTTTCTCAGATTTCCGAGCATTTCGATATATCTCATCCCATACACCAAGGTCGCTCTCCGTTCTTCCATTAATCTATCGATTTAAGGGGGAAAGAAAACATTTTTCACATCACAGTTTATTCATGAGAATGTTAATGTTAGGAGGAAAAGGTGGGGATGGGAGAGATCAAAACAGGGGGCTGTAATAGTTAAGTATGTTATACCTCCTCCATTTCAAGTCTTTCGTAATCTTCAAAGCTATCTATTTCTGTCACAAAATCCAGGTCTTGTCCGGTAAGGGCATCCTGATCCTGAATCTCAGTCCTATTCTTAGACTTGTCAACAATATGTTTGGTGAATTCCTCCTCAAGGGCAAGAACAACACTAGAATCTACGGAAATATCTACATTGCTGTGTTCAATTTCCTTCCTGAAAAGATTCCACTCCCAGGATCCCTGCTTAAGTTCAGAAACAGAACCTGGCAGCAAAACATCTGATGGGAAATAAAGTATATTCACCAGAACGCTCGCATAACCAGTTATGCATTCAGACGCCAGAATGTTCTTAGCAAGCAGTCTTCCAGAAGAAGCAACTGTTTCAGCAAATCTAGACAGTCTGCTATTCGATACCAAAAGTGAGAAAGCCCTCCATAGAGCATCAGGGTTATGTTTTTGAAATAAAACACAATGGGTTCCATCAGCCACCTGCAACAAAAGAGCAGCCTAAAATGTAATCTGAATGGAAAGTCCCTCCAATTCTCTCTCTATCTCACCCTCTTTCTCAGACACAAATCAGGAACTAGGAACTAAGAGGATATAATTTAAATGGACCTACATATTTTTTTATGATAGGAAAATCAGGTGTGATGATAGGGATTCCAAAGGTCATGGCTCGGATAATTAATGGAGGAAAACCCTGTTCTTCTTGGGAGGAGCCATAAATAACAATGTCAGCCATTAATAAAACTCCATTGGCATCACCATCCAAGCCATAACACCTAACAGAGCCTTGAGTAAGTCCTAACCGTGATGCAACTTGCTGCACAGAAACACAAGGTATGACATCAATCTTGAACATAGGCAGCAAACTAACCACAATGCAGTGTGCTGAATACATCATATACATAGAATAGAGGACAAAAGGAAAATTACATGACAACTTCTTATGATATTCTCTCCAGGTTTATAAGTCTTTTAATATTTCTAAGCCTCTATCATTCTAGCATATATGTGACTAATTTTTTTTTGATAGAAGTTGGAGGTCTCATTAAAAACTCCCTTCGTATTCGTTCACATACTAAAGGTATGTTAACGAACATTGGAAGGAAGAAAAGAGTACCTCAAATTTTATTGATAAAATACCCGATACAAAAGACACCACGGAATATCCTCTCATGGTGATGTACACCATTACAACAAACACCTTAACCTCATATAACCTCATCCAAAGCCACATTCTAATCACCTTACTTCTAATTACACCACCAACAGTAGGAATAAAACAACACAACAGAACATAATGCAAATTAAAAGCAACACCTACAACCATATAGACTAAAACAACCACAATTGAAGAGACAATATCTAATGAGACTCGTCTTCTTCAGGAGCCCAAGAGTTTGGTTTGAATGAAGGCTCTATCTCATGCACCGTGACCTTGAAGAAGTTGTCACCAACCTTCAATTCCACCATCGCATCAATTCTTGCATCAGCCTTTGTAAAGACTTTAATTTTTGCCCGATCAAAGGACAATGGAGACTGACAACTTTCGTCGATAGCTAGTAATAAACCCCACTTATCAGCAATGTTCTTGAAAGTATCCCAATTCCATGCGTGAAAAGGAACACCCTCACAAACTAACCATACTCGACGACACTCCATTACCAAACTCTCTGACCAAGCTTCGACTATGGAAAACCACTCTGCGAGAATCTTTGATTTATCGTTCTTCACACTTCTCAAGGAAGCATTGTCTTCGAAAATCATTAAAATCGCATTACCAGTAGCTCTCATTAAGGTGAAGCCAATGAGGCCCTTCGTTTGCATTTGTCTGGCGAGATGACCAATTTTGACAAAGTCCTTGCACCACCCCACTAGACAATTTCTCAACACCTGAAGTTTTTCTTCTTCTATAACACCTTCAACTTTAAAATGATTCTTCCTCGAAACATCCTCCGTCCCGAACTTGCGAAGAACACCTGTCGAGGACTTTCTCCAATAGGAATGTCGAGGTTTGAATTTAGCGAAAGAAACACCAATTTTTCTGCCGTCGATACGAGAGCCATTCATTTTTGAGATCGCTCTCCTAGCTTCTTCGATTGATGCGATGCGAATAAAACCAAAGCGAACTCCTTTTGAGTTCCTTTTATTTGGGATAAAAGCATCAAGTACAAGACCATGGGAGCAAAATAAAGCTCCAAGCCTCTTCCAATGAATCTTCTCCGGTAAATTTTCAACAAATATTGTGTAGCATACATACTTGTTATTACTGCACCCTTTTGTGGTGGACTCCTTGGTTCCCTCGTGGACACCATCTACTGCAGATTTTTCATCACAACACCCATTTTTACCAATCACATGAATACTAGGAGATGCTACAGAAGTTGAATTTGGCATTGGCAGAACAGGAGGAACATGATCACATTTATACTTGTCTAAAGCATCAGAAGCTGCAACTATTCCTCTTTTAACAACAAGATTCTTCCTTGCCATCTCAATATGTAGAAGGGACTTCAACTTATCATCAAAAATCATTTTCTGAAGTGCATCTTTGGCAGCAACTGCAAAATCTGCATTTGAGAAGAGAGCGAAACCCTTAGGCTTTTCTCCCTTGAAGCTCACTTGCGAAGCTTCAAAACCTGGAAGCCATCTCAGTAGATTCTGCAACTCTCTCTCTTTGAAATCTTCAGGCAGACCCATAATGAATATCGTACAAAACCTCGTCATGATGAGAAGGGTGAGATTGCGGAGAAGGCGCGACTGCAGAGGGCAGAGGGGCTTGGACTGGAGGTCCCTGTTGATGACAAGGGTGGATTCCAGCACCCGACATTAGAGGAAAACTCAGTGACCTGACGTAAAATCCCTGTCGCGCGCCCAGTGATGGTTAATGCTGTGACTGGCCGGCGAAGAAGAGGAGGGTGGAAGGGATGATGCGAGTCGGACAGGAAGGTCTTGAACTTTAGAGAAGGTGGAATAGCGTATTCTTCCTTCAACGAAACTCTCAGACTTAATCTGGTTCGTGAAAATAGTGACTGCCGGTGAAGAATAGAAGGGCGGAAGTGATGGAAAGAGTCCGACAGGCAGATCTTGAGCCTGAGTGAAGGAGGAACTACGAGTTGACCTTCAACAAAACCCTCAGAGATGAAATATATCGGGAGAACAGCTTGGCAGAACCATGGCTTGTTCTGCTTTGTCGAACCGGTCAAAGGCAGACTCACGGGGAATGGCAGCAAGTCTGAACGCTAAGATAGAAAGGATTAGATCGCGAGTGTACGACGAGCCCGGAGGTATGACGGTGAACTGACGACGGCCGACGGCTAAAATCAGAGAAGAACTGCGATTAGATCTACGCCGAATGAATGACTTACTCGAAAATCTAATCTCAAAAATGAAATCAGAGTGAGACGTTCTTCCTGAAGAAAAGTGGCGGTGAACGGACGACAGAGTGTGGCGGCAGACTACAGACGACGGATGACGGACGCCTGCCGGCGATGATAAACGACGGCGGGCGGCGATGGTAAAGATGAGCTGAGATGAAGAATGAAAATAAAAGTCACCTTGAACCAAGAGAGAGCTTCTCTCACTAGGTTTATATATGTGACTAATTGAAAGAGGAAAAAGAAGTTGGGCTATACTACAATTTGTAAGCGTGTAACTCCAAAAGAATAATCTGAAGTACGAAAGACAAACTACAACTGAATAACTTAATCTAGATATTCAAACTAAATAGCAAAATTAGGTATTCTCCTTTAATCCATGCAATAAGACATAACATTTCTTTGTTACCTATTTATATTACCCATATCACATTAATCAAACAAGTTCAGCCAATAAAGACTTCTTTCAATTCAAAATGGGAGCATCAATATACAAAACGGAAAGGTATAAGGAACTTATGAATATATAATATTATACATATACATGATGCACCTATAAATAATTGGTTACCTGTAAAGCATCATTATATCCATAAGTGGAGTTGCCACTCAAGAAAATAAATTTAAATGGCCCTTCCGCATCATTTCTCCTTGCAAATCTCATAAGGAGAGGTCTGATAGTTTGCATTTCAACAGCATAGTCCCACGATAACTCATCATAAAAGAAAGAACTTCCAACAACAAGAACCACCATATCATCCATGCTATACCCATTGTCTTTCCTTAACTGATGCTTTGCATGGGTCTTACTGTAACTTTCTGCAGCCCACACATCCACAGGTGATCCAGGAATTACATGGAAGTTTCCAGTGTCAAGCATGCTATATAACATCTGATATGGGAAGGAATGGAAATTGAAACCACATAAGATGTCTGTTAGAATGCCATCAAAAAAAGCTGTGAGGAAGTATAGACAGAATGTCAGATTTACCGGTAGTGTAAAATCAGGGAACAGAATAATATTGGCCCTGGAAAAAGTATTTTTCCAATTAGAAACAAGATGATCCAACCCCATCTCCTTATAGGCAGGAAGTCGTTTTGCCAGAGTATCTTCTTGAATTATCCATATAAGTGGTACTGTATTAAAAGGCTCCTGCATAAGGCTGCATGCAGATATAACTCACTCATCTCAAACTAAAACAAAACATTAGGGGTGTTTGTAGTGTTCAGAAAATGTATGCATATGGTGGAAATAGTAAGCTAGATATAAAAGGTACCTTGAGACAGCTTCTTTTGCTTCAAGAGAATCAGCAATAACACCATCAAACCTGTAGAAAATGCAAAAGAAAAAAAAACATATAAAATCAATGACAAGTAAACAAATAAAACTAATAGTCACCACAAACCGCAAATCCAGATAAAAACCAATATAAACATAATTGAGAGGGGAGGGGGGGAAAGAGGAGAAATAGAATTAATAATAAAGGAATTAGATAACATACAGAGACCAATCAATATGACCAAATTGCTCTGGACCTAAAAATGAAAACTGAACATTTAGGTTCTCCCAAATTGCACGTGCTTCGCCACTTCCTAATCCATAAATCTGTCAATTTGACATTGTAAGGATCCATTACATTTTCCGAACTAATCAGTTGAAAAATATAAAGCTTTCATGCCTATAATGATAGAAAGCAGAAATACTAACATCTCCACCGTACAATGGAAGTTGGAGAAGATGTGTGTTTCATAAAATCAGTTTGTGAGCATATTCAAAAGAAAAATATCAGCACCAATGGAAATAAAATTTTTAAGAGTAAATTCACCTTAAATACGTAGCCAAGCCTCTGAAGACTCTTTACCACGGTCACAAGCATCAATGATTGAGGGTTCTTCTTCATGTTCCCCAAAATCTGTCAATTATTGTCAGAGATTAGATTCCTAAATTAGAGTAGATAATGTAATCAGTTAGTATCCTAGTGAATATACTGTAATTAGCTAAAATCCCTAACTCAAGGAATAAGATTTATTCCTAGAATCAGTCAATTACCTAGTTTAGCGGTTTCCTAAGATAAGGCAGTAGTGTGTATATTTAAACCTTGTAATTCTCCTACATTAATCAAGAGAGATTCACAGAAATAAGCCTTTTTTACAAGGTATCAAAGCGAGAAAGGCTCTCTATTTGGGTCCAATCATCGTTGCTTAGCTGTCCCTTTAAGTCTTATCCTCCCTTTAAAGAGTCGGATATAACCCCAACAAGAATATGGGTGATGTGGAAGACTCCAGCAATACTGAAACGGTTCAAGGAGGCACAATGAGTGAAGGAAGTCACCCTATTCCAATTGGTGACTTACAAAACATACAGGTTGCCTATAGGTTGAACGGTAAAAACTATCTCAAGTGGTCCAATTGGTTCGAACTTTCCTAAAAGGAAGAGGAAAACTCAGTCATCTTCTTGGAACGGGTCCTAAGGAAGGAGATCCTAGATTCAAGGCTTGGGATGAACAAGACTCGTTAGTTATGTCTTGGTTTTGAAACTCAATGGTGCCTGAGATAAGTGACACTTGCATGTTTCTAAGGACAGCCCAGGAGATATGTGAGGCAATGAAACAAACCTATTCAAAGGTCTGAGATGCTGCCCAGATATATGAAATCAAGAGCAAGATTTCATCCACCAAACAAGGGAACAAATCAATTACAGAATATTCTAACATGCCACAAAATCTGTGGCAAGAGATGGATCACTATCAATGCATTGAAATGAAGTGCAGTGAAGATGCAGTTGTCCTAAAAAGGTTTGTCGAAAAGGATAGAATTTATGATTTTCTTGTTGGACCAAATATAGAATTTGATGCAGTGAGAGTCCAAATTCTAGGAAAAGAAGACTTACTCTCACTAAATGAAACTATTGCATCATTCGAGCTGAGAAAGGAAGAAGAGGGGTGATGATGGTTGAAAACAATCAAGTAGAAAGTTCAGCCTTGGTTACTAGGGTTGTAACTGAGGAAGCAACATGACTGGAGCAACAGGGCATTGAAGCAGCAAGAGCAGTAAACAAGGATTCTTTATGGTGCACTTACTGTAAGAAATCTCCTCATACAGAGAAAAGTGCTGGAAGTTACATGGGAAACCACAATCAGCAAGCAAAAATCTTACAGAGAAAGGAGGTTCATCAAGAGGACAAGGCAGAGCTTATATTTTTTTTTTGATAGGAATAGATGGCCTCATTAAAAAATCATAACAACTAGCGGAAGAAGGAAAAGAGTGCCAGACTTTATTGATTGCAAAAGAATTACATAAGACTTAAAAACAGTCCTACAAGATACATAAAACTTAAACACACTGCTAAAAATCATAACAACTGAATGCCACAACTCGCTGAAACAACAAATCCCATCACCCAATCCCCTCCTTTGCTAACTTATCAGCCTCGCAATTACAGCACCTCGGAATCCACCTCACAATAATCTCGTGCGCAGACATTGTAGAAGCTATCTCCTTAACTAGATTAGTAAGAAAAGTGGGGACAGTTGCTTGATCTTTCAACCATTCCACTGCTAGTTTGCAATCAGATTCCACAATTAACCTTCCCTTTGGTGCCCATTCTGAAGAAACAGATAAATCTATTCCTTTCTTGATTGCTTTCAACTCTGCTACGATGATAGGAGTAGGACCAACATTTTCTGAAAAAGAAATCAGCTTTGTCCGATTCCAGTCTCTGAGAATACCCCCAATTCCAGCAGTTCTCCCAACAGTACAAACAGCTCCATCCACATTCATTTTATAAAAGTCAGTTGGAGGTGGACTCCAACTAACCACCGGCCTGTTCAAATCTTTTATAACTGAGCAAGTGTCTGCCAATGAAGGATCAACAATTAACGAATCCACCTGAGTAAAGCTTTTTGGATACTTTGCTAAGAACCATTTCGCTAACCTTAGCCGAACTGTGAAAAACAAAGCGAAACTGTCCAGTTTACCTCCATTAAAGATGATATCATTTCTAAATTTCCATAGAGAACATAGGATTGCCGATGGAATGAACTTCCACATGGCAGAATAAAGCTTCAAGTATGTCCAAGAGCTAAGGAGGGAGAGAGGATCAGAGGGTAAAACACACGAAATACCCCAAAAGCCGATAATTTTATTCCACAATTCCCACGAAACTTGGCAAGAAATAAAAAGATGTTGAACAGATTCTTCACAAAGATTGCAAAGAGGACATAAAATATTGTCCCCTAAGGGAACCACCCGTTTCTTCAACTCCACTCTCACCGGTAATTTTTTATGGGATACTTGCCAAAGGAAAGCCTCAACTCTTGGAGGAACTAAACCCATCCAAACATATTTGTTCCATAAAAATGAATTTTCATTAGAATAGGAAAAGACTTCCTACAAACTTTAACCGAAAACAACTCCTCCCCCACTCCATCCCATAGCAAACAATCCTCCAAAGATTCGGTTAATTTAATGTCTTTGAGTCTATCCAATAGCTCCACCAACTGAACCACCTCCCAATCACAGAGATTCCTCCTCGTTCTAATATTCCACCCCCATCCATTCGAATCAAAGCTCCCAAAATCAGCAACCTTGCCCCTTGGATTGGAGAAAGAGCAAAAATCCTAGGGAAAAGCATTTTCAAAGGAACATCCCCTAACCAAGAATCATTCCAAAATGAGATTGATTTGCCATTCCCTACTTGTAACTTCGCATGGGCTCTAAGGCAACCTCCAACAACATCATCTCTGGTGAAGTTATTAACAATTCCCCTCCAAATCCAAGAGTCCTTATGTGAAAGGACTTTGGTAATATCCATGGAATCGCAACTAACATCATGTTTGGTGCATATGAAACGCTTCCACAATGAACTTTTTTCATTAGCAAACTTCCACACCCACTTTCCCAACAAGGCTCGGTTAGAATATTTCAAGTCGGCAACTCCCAAACCTCCACAACTCGAAGGATTGCAAATCTTATCCCAACTTATTCAATGCATTTTCTTCTTCTCGGCCCCATCACCCCATAAAAAAGCCGCCATAAAAGAATTTAACTTCTTGCAAATAGTAGAAGGCATCTTGAAAAAAGATAGAAAGAAAACACGTAAAGATGACAAAACCGCCTTAATAAGCACCAATCTACCTGCCAATGACAAGGAAGAGGCTTTCCACCCCGCTAGTTTCTTGTGGAAATTATCAAGAACCGGCTCCCACAATTTCTCACAATTTCTTTTTGCCCCTAACGGAAGTCCCAAGTAAACGGTCGGAAATGAACCTACAGAGCTTATATAACCAAACAAGTAGTTAAGAAACATGAAGAACAACCTGTTGAGTTCAACACAGAAGTAGAAAAGCTAAAGAATCTACTGGAATCGTTGGAGAAACCTTCCTCTGCAAGTACATGTAATTTTGTTTTCTCATGTATGTCTTCTTCCTTTTCTCAAGGTTCTAATGTCTTGGAAACATCCTCCTATATACCTTCCCAAAATTCCTGGGTAATCGACTATGGAGCCACAGACCATATGACCAATTCATTACTCAAATTTCTTACTTACACACCCTGTTCTAGCAATAAAAAGTTCACAATTGCAGATGGCACCATGATAACCATTGCGGGCCAAGGGGATATTGCCATAAATGGAACCCTATTACTTAAAAATGTCCTACATGTCTCCAAGCTGTTTACTAGCCTTATATCCATTCAAAAGCTTATCAAAGATACTAACTGCATTGTTTTGTTTCATCCAACACAATGCATTTTTCAGGAGCAAGAAACGAAGAGGATGATTGGGTGTGCTAGGGAAATAAACGACCTATATTATCTTGAAGACAATAGTGGACCAATTGGAGCCTTGAATAGCCAACCATTATCCTTTTTATCTGAATCTACAGCCAATAAAGACCAAATCTAGTTACACCATTTTTGCCTTGGTCCTTTTAAGATTTTAAACACTATATTTCCCTATTTGTTCAAGTCTTTAAATATTGAAGAATTTCATTGTGAAGTGTGTAAACTTGCAAAACATAAAAGTCTTCCTTCCCAGCAAGCAATAAAAAGTCCACAAATCCTTTTAATCTTATACACAATGATATTTGGGGGCCTATACTATTCCTAACATAAAAGGGGTTAGATGGTTTGTGTCATTGATAGATGATTATACTCGGGTTACATGGAATTTCCTTCTAAAGAAAAAAATCTGATGTTAGCTCCATTTTTAAGACCTTCTATACCATGATTAAGACTCAATTTGGGGCTGAAAAAAAAAAGATTCAGATCTAACAATGCTAAGGATTATTTTAATCAAATCTTATCTCCCTACTTTCTAGAAAAAAGGTATTATACATAAATCCTCATGTGTAAACACTCCCCAATAGAATGGGGTAGCAGAAAGGAAGAACGGCCATGTCCTTGCCATAACAAGAGCCCTTTTATTTCAAAACAAAGTTCCTAAACAATACTGGGGAGAGGCTGTGTTGACTGCCACTTACATCATAGACAAACTACCAACTAAAACCCTTGATACCAAAGTACCATTCAAATCCTCACCAAACTTTTTCCAAATTTCAGTCCATCTCTTAACCTAAAACCTAGAATATTTGGGTGTGTTGCTTTTGTTCATATACATTCACAAGGCAAGGGTAAACTCGATCTAAGGGCATCAAAATGCATATTTATTGGCTACTCTTCTACTCAAAAAGGCTACAAGTGCTACCATCCACCTACAAGGAGATACTACACCTCTGCTAATGTTACTTTTTTGGAAAAAGAAAGCTATTTCAAAGTTCCTTATCTTCAGGGGGAGATATCATTCAAGGAAGATAAGGATGCAATTTTTTTCCTTCTTCAGCCCCTCATTGACGTTCCTACTACACCCATGCAACACTCTGAACAACAGGCACAACCCAAACCTCCTGCTCAACTTCCACCCCAACTTTTTCCCAACCAGAGCCCAATACACCACAGACAAACGTTCAAGACTTTACTCGTTCCCTACTGATCTATTCAAGGAAGAAGGCACCTATGCAGATTCAATCATCCCCTTCTCCTTCTCCTATACAATCTGAGGTACACTCTGAAATTCCTTCTGATCAAAATAATATGGAAAATACTATATCTGCTTTTGATTTTGAATTTTCCATTGCTATTAGAAAAGGAAAAAGAACTTGAACCACAAAACATCCTTCTTATTGTTCATGACTTACAAAAATCTATCCTCTAATCACATGCTATGAAAAACGATATGGAAGCACTTGAAAAGAATAAAACATAGGACTTGGTGGAACTGCCAAAAGGGAAGAAAACAATATGGTGCATATGGGTGTTTACAGTCAAGTATAAATCAGATGGCTCTTTAGAAAGGTACAAAACAAGATTGGTGGCAAAGGAATATTCTCAAACCTATGAGATAGATTACCTTGAGACCTTTGCTCCTGTTGCAAAGATGAATACAGTAAGAGTCTTACTATCCTTAGCAACTATTCAAGGATGGAATTTGCAACAATTTAACATTAAGAATGCCTTCTTGCATGGAGATCTTGAAGAGGAGGTGTACATGGATATACCACCAGGATTCGATTCAAGCACTGGAAAGGCAGTCTGCAGATTGAAAAAGGCTCTATATGGACTAAAACAGTCCCCTAGAGCTTGGTTTGGGAGATTTACTAAGGTGATGCTAAGACAAGATTTCAATCATAGCCAAGGATATCATACATTGTTTGTGAAACATTCCTCTTTAGGGAGAGTGCTTGTTCTTTTGGTATATGTAGATGATATAATTGTTACAGGAAATGATGCTGAAGGAATTGACAGCCTGAAGAAGTGTCTTATAAAAGACTTTGAAGTGAAGGAACTTGGAAGATTAAAATACTTCATTGGGATTGAAGTGGCACACTCACAACAAGGGATTTTTATATCTCAACAAAAGTACATTTTATACTTGTTGAAGGAGATTGGAAAACTAGGATGTAAACCAGCAGAAACTTCAATAGAAGTCAATCACAAGCTCAGAGAGACAAAGGATGATGATGCAGCAGTTGATAGAGGCTCATTTTAGAGACTTGTGGGAAGGCTTATTTATTTATCACACACCAGACCAGACATAGCATGTTTTGTTGGAATTGTGAGCCAGTTCATGCATAATCCTAAGGAATCACATCTAAAGGCTGTGACACAAATTTAGTAGTTCTTAAAGGGCAACCAGGCAAAGGAATTCTGTTTAAAAGGGGAGGAGACTTGACTTTAGAAGCATACACTGATGCAGACTACGCATGTTCCATAATTGATAGAAGGTCAACCTCAGGGTACTGCACCTTGTTTTGAGGAAACCTTGTCACTTGGAGGAGCAAAAACAGAATGTTGTGGCTAGATCTAGTGCAGAAGCTGAATTTCGAGCTATAGCATTAGGAATTTGTGAGTTATTATGGCTGAAGATTATTTTAGAAGACTTGAAGGTCAAATGGAGTGGACCAATGAAGCTATACTGTGACAACAAGTCAGCAATTAATATTGCTCACAATCCAGTTCAACATGACAGAACAAAACATGTTGAAGTGGATAGACATTTCATAAAAGAGAAACTTGATAGTGGCCTAATCTGTACTCCCTATGCGGCCATTGGAGATCAAGTAGAAGATATACTTCCAAGGGCCTACCTAATAAATATCTTTAGAAGTTGACAAGCAAGCTGAGGATGGAAGACATGCATGCCCCAACTTGAAGGGGAGTGTCAGAGATAGATTCCTAAATTAGAGTAGATTATGTAATATGTTAGTATCCTAGTAAATATACTGTAATTAGTTATAATCCCTAACTCTAAGGAAAAAGATTTATTCCTAGAATCAGTCACTTACCTAGTTTAGCAGTTTCCAAAGATAAGACAGTAGTGTGTATATTTAAACCTTGTAATTCTCCTACATTAATCAAGAGAGAAATTCACAGAAATAAGCCTTTTTGACAATTATTAAAGATGCACAATGTAAATGCAAAACTCAAACCACTCAAAATAGAGAAATAACATGAAGAAACAGTGCATTTCATGTGAGGTGTGGGCTGAATAATGCTAAATGACTTAAAACCAGTGTTGTCAAGGCCGTAAGGCAACTCTAGACGCTATAATACTTATATTGCCTCGTGAACAAGGCAGAAAAAAAGTTCACATGTGTCATGTAAAGCTCAATGTGTATATATTTCTTTGTTATGTTTGTATATGTATATAACAAGCTTAAGACATGATTATGATAATAAACTCTAAAAGTGTGGTCTGGTTTATTTACAAAGCATACAATTTTTTAGTTCACCAATTTGCATGTTTGTTGTTTAATACCCAATCAGTAGAGAGTTCGATACTATCCTCTTTCTTACTAGTAAAGGTACATCTAATGGAAAAGCTGAAAAAGTATAAACTAAAGAGAACTTCAATTAAGCGGGCACTTTTATCTCTATTGCCTAAAAAAGTGTGTAGGGACAGGAGACATTTTTTGATCAAATGCAGGGTCCAAGGTGCTTCTTTTTACTAATGCTAAGGCAAAGGAGTAGGAATGTCTAGATGCATGCCTTCACAATACTGCTTAAAACATCCCCATTCTAACCAATGGGTTGGTAGGCATATAATATCAGTATAACTTTCAACATCTTTCCATTCAAATACTTAACTTCCCATGAAATAGCAGATTCTCTTTGAAGGTATGTTTTAGAAGCCAAACTTTGGCAATAATCTCATAACCACTTTCTGACAAATTAGTCAAGTTCCTTCCTTTGCAGGAAGGAACTAAAGGAAGTTATATTTTCTTTAAATTATTGCCTCTGTAGAGAACAGTGTTGTCTAGGGGTCTGGCTTTAGCACTAGACAACAAAAGCAACTCAAACCCTTTTCGGGTGAAGCCCATTTTTGTAAGGCAATAAAATAAAAAAATTCCACCTGATTGATGTTCTCTTTAATTTCTTTATTTTTCACTTCTTTTATTAGTTTTACCTTTACCAGAAAGACAAGGATACTCCAAACTCTATAGTTCTCAATATTCATGTATTCAAAGACAAATATGTACCATAAGGAAATCAGGTATACTGGACTAATAAAAAAGTTTTTGGATATTCTCTGGATCATCTAGAGCACAATTTAGAGTTTATATATTACAAATACTAGCTTCATTTCTAATTTGAGATATACTTAATTGCTTGTCTAGCAAGAGATTTTTTAAGAAATTGATGAACCAATGAAAATGAATTTCGTTGAAATTTTCAATTACCAACCATATACATACATATATTTACATTTATATATCAATGTGTATTTTTCCCTTAATTTGGAAGTTTTCAGTAGTTAAGACCAGAGAAAAAAATGTGATCAAATTATTCAGTTATTTTATTATTTTTTTCAATTTTCTTTTCGTTTTAATTCTCATTAATCTGTAATCATAAACTCCCTCTTTTCCAAAAAAAATCAGAACCTACTAGTATTCAACTTTCAACATTGAACAGATCATTTCCATGGTGTCAATTATATTTTATGAACCTCAATGAAAACATTACAAAATAAATTTTTGCTCAACTACGACCAACACTTCAGCAACAAAAATAGAAAAGAAACCTATACTGAAGCTTCTGAGTTGGCCTTTCAAGATCTAAAAATTCGAACAGCATTCATTTTAGCAATAAAACAAAAACGACTCACAAGCAATTCATAACCAAAGTAACCGTGAGTTATTCATAAACTATAGGGCTAAAAGAATCGCCAAAAGAACTACTTGCAAATTCGATTTGGCCAAGCCACTACTTACAATTTAGAAATATAAAGGAAAAGAATATAAAACTTCAATAAGCTAATCCAAAATCATAAATTACCAAAAGAGAAACAAATAAATAAATATAACATCTGATTACGAACTTAATTATGAACTTAAAGTGCCCTTAACATTCTAACGAAATATAAACATCTGAAATACTAATTCCTAACCGAAGATAAAATTTCAATTAATTAATCCAGTTATTAAAAGAAAAATAAAAAAATGTGACTTACAACGGCAAGTCTTGGGCGGCGAATTCCAATCCTATCAGTCGATCTTATCGGATCAAGTCCACCACCTTCGGCGAGCAACCTCGAGATCCCTGCCGGCATAAACTTCAACGAGCTCCCGAACCTCAACCCTTCTCTAATAGACCTCCTCCAACTCCTCTCCCCTCCTTGCTTAAATAACATCACCGTAATCGAACTCTGCATCACCATTGATGCAACAGCAAAAGCGACGACGGAGAAAAATATCAAGAAATAAAACAAATAAATGCCTCGAAAGGGGAAGTGCAATAATCCTTTCCGGTTGAACCGGGCGCGGTTTCGAACTAGAGGCCTTTCGAGGAGAGAATATTGTTTATTTCGGTCCCGACTTTGGCCAGGATTTCTTTTGAGAGGGAACCGATCGCGGATCGAGTAGAGTCCTTGATCGTTATTATTGTTGTTGATATCACTGCTGTTGTTAATGGCGTTGTTTTTTCCATTTTCGTTGCCATTGCCGTCTAGTCTCGGAGGAGACGAGTTTCGGCCCATAGGAAGTGATTCCTCCCCTCTTTACTTTCTTTTCCCTTTTGTTATGTTCTCGAGAAAGTGACGGAAATTTCAGAGAGTTTTGTGACAGTTTCGAAAGAGAAATCAAGAGTGAAGAATCGAGTTGTTATTTGTATTTTTAGGGATATATGATTTTTTTTCATTTTTCTTTCCGCGAGAAACGGTGGTCAAAGTTCACGCGCCGGTAATAGAACGCGTCAAATTTTTTCTTTTCATTACTAACTATTTTATTTTAGGATAAAGTATAGTTATAGTCACTGAATTTTTCTAAAGCTTTCATTTATGTCTCTTAACTTTTAAAACTTATAATACAGTCTTCCAATATTTAGTCCGTTTTCAATATGATCCCCGCCGTTATACTTTCGTTAGTATGTTTACAATATGATCACTGAACTTTTCAGGCGCTTGCATTTAGGTCCCCTAACTTTTAAAATTTGAAAAACAACTCTCAATTTCATTATAAACCCCAAATTTTTTTCCGATCTCGAATTTACTTTTTTGCTGCTCTCTTCTCATTTCCAACGTAACTTTTCAGTCGGGGATGCATGGAAAATTCTAATCTAACTTTGAATTATGTGGAGGTGTTGACTTGAATAAGGGTCCATTAAGAGAAGATCCAACCAAGGGACTATCAGGACCATCAACGATTCAATGTGTAATGTTAGATTACATGTCATCTCAGGTGAAGCATAGATGTTTAATGAAATTGTTGTGAGAAAAAAATGGGGTTAGAAATACAGAGTTGACAAATACTACTAAGATGAACTAAGTATCATTGTTGAAAGTCACCAACAAAGCTGGAATTATTTTGTACAAATGGCATATAATAATTTCTTCGTTTAATCCTTGTAGTTAAAGATTTTCTAACAGATGATCAAATATAATAAAATCACAAACAGCGCATTCACATCTCAATCTCTTTCGCAACTCGAAAGACATCATGACAGGGTCAAGTAGCTGCTCCAAATATACTACCCTGTCATGATGCATTTCGAGTTGCATGCATGCAGAATGGTCTTCTAAAGCTATAATTCAATACAATTCAACTATAAAATTTCCAAAACATCTAAAAAATCCAATTCGTTCACGATATATTAGTCTCATAATCAACATGAACTTATTAAAAAGAATACAAGCTCACAGGATGCCGAAAATCATAGGTCGGATCGATACAATTCCCAGTAAACTAGTACCAGCAGTCTCTCGAATTGAGCCTGGCGATTTCACTATATTGATACTCACAACCAATTTCCTGATTTAAAGAAAAACCAAACAAGAAGATAAAAAAAATTTAGCCTAGGACCCTCTTTCACTTCTATTCTGATTGACTGAATATCTTTCATAAGGAGTACTAAAAGTTTTGATTAAGAAGAAAGAAAGAAAATTAGATGGTTTTGGTTCAAAACTAACACTGAATATCCATATCATTGACATGCAGTTCCAGAAACATAAAAATTTCAACAAAAAACACAAAATGCGAGCTGAAAATAGGAAAGTGCGAAAGAGGAAAAGCTTACTTTCGGATAGCCCAAAAGAGAAAATAGTACCTTCTTGCAAGTGAGGGGAGAGGCTAAGAAATAAACGCAATCGGTGTTGCGTTCCAGCAATTCTTCCTCCATTTTTTTCTTTATAAATAAAAAGCTAAAAGACAAAGCACTTCTTGGGTTTACAATTTTACATGGCAGAAAATTGAAGAACAAAAACCAAACGAGAGTGCATGTGAGCGAAAGAGACTGAGAGGTGAATGCACTGTTTGAGATTTCATTATATTTGATTATCTGTTGGAAATCTTTAACCACAAGGATCAAACGAAGAAATTATTATATGTCATTTATACAAAATAATTCCAACTTTGTTGGTGACTTTCAACAATGATACTTAGTTCATCTTAGTAGTGTAACCCCCTAGACCATAACCCCCTAGACCCGGCCTATGCGTTTTGACTAAGTCTAGTGGATCACATTATGATTCTTTAAGACATTTTTCCGAAACCGTTATTCAAACAATGTAAAATCACATTATAAATGACATGAAATTATAATAAATCATACTATCAAAACCTAACTTGTAAATATAATACCAATAAGTAATAAATTAATTTAAAACATATCTTAAAAATCAAATCACGATAAACCGAATAGTAATAGTAAAAATGTCATCATATTAAAATCCCATACTTTAAAATAAGGTCCATGTCAACAAAATAAAGTCAACTTGCAAGGTAAAAACGTTACAATCAGATATACTTCAAGAGATATGTTGATCCTCCAAGTGCTCAATCCAGGGTATCTAACCAATAGTATCTGAAAGGGAAAAAAACATTTTCGAAAAGTGAGCTAGGCTCAGTGTGTCCCAATATTACCATAAAATCACTATAGGTACACTAAACATATCATAGTCCAAAAAGTCTCATAAAATTATACTGCAGTAAATCTCTTTAAAAAGCGTTACCCTAAGGGAACATCTTAGGGCCTGAGAGCCTACCCAAGATAGATTTCGGGGCCGTGAGGCCTACCTAAGAACACATCTTAGGGCCGCAGGGCCTACCCGAGAATGATCTCAGGGCCGCAGAGCCTACCTAAGAGTCACATTAGGTCTGTAAAATTTTCCAGCTTGATCAGAGCTGTAATTTATAAATTCGTATTCCAAAAATTCAATTGCACCATGTTATAAATTCCATAAATCCATAAACATGGTAATCATATACCATTTCAAAACAAATATCATATAACAGTCATAATCCATAAATCATCACATTAAATCGGTGCATCAACAATACGGTAACCAAAGAATTCAGTGTACCACATATTAAAACAAATAAAACAGTTCAGTAATAAATAGGGAACACACCTCGATAATAGATTCAAATCGTAGATCTACTGATTGCTGGTTTCACCACGCTCTGCTACAGTTTTCGAACCTAATTTATAGTAACACTATATTACTTATTGGTAACATAAATAAATCTCTAAAATCATAAAATTTACTGGTCTTACGGGTGAATACTGACATACGTGGTTTAACTGATCTAGAAGAGCTGGGTCGAGCTGTTGAACGATCCGGTGAGTCTCGTGCACCTTCAAATAACAATAATTTATCAGCCCCAAATCTTACTTAATTGTTCAAAGCTAAAATTCTTAAGTATCTAAGCATTTTCCGAGTTTGACTATCAATTTGGGGTATTTCAAGTCTGAATTTGGCCAAACGGATTGCGGAATCGAAATCAGGACGTCGAAAAATATAAAGTATGACTTTTTGAAAATCCAAATTCTTGGTCAAAGTCAAAGTCAACCACTTTGACCGTCGATTTGGAGACCTTTGGGTTTGAATTTGGTGAAACAGACTGCGGAAATGGATTTGGCACGTCGAAAACTATCAGGATAGGTATACTCGGAAAAGATTTACGGTCGTTTAAGGGTCGGTCAAAGCCATCTTAAGTTTTAGTCAAAGAAAGTCAACGGTCAACGGTCACGGTCAACGGTCACGGTCAACAGTCGGGTCGGGTCAACGGTCGGGTCGGGTCAACAGTCGGGTCGGGTCAACCCGGTTCAGACCGGTCAAACCGGTTCGAACCGGTCAAACCGGTTCAAAACTGGTCAAACCGGTTTTCCAGCAGCTCACTCTCCCTGCGGCGGCGCGTGCGGCGCGTGAACAGTGCCACGGTGTCGGAAAATTCCCGGAAAAATTTCTAAAAATTATTTTGAGCGATTTCGAGATACTTACAACGATCGGTTCAAATTTTTGAACGGCGGAGAGCTCGTATTTCAACTCGGCCGAATCTTTGACTGCTCCACCTCCTCACGCGCCGCCGTCGACGGCGAACAAGGTTGACACCGGCGGACTCGCAACGACACAAGGAACACGATGATGCAGGAGGTGTCATAAACGGAACAACGATCGGCGGTGAATTTAAGTTTTTCCCGGCGATAGAGCTAAAAAAAAACGACGATGCTTTGACTGAAAATTCCCGACGTTTGGCAGCGTTTCACTTCAATTAATTTGAAGGGTTTGTTCCTCGCTTGATGATGAACACAACGGTGGTTTCAATTTTACGATTGGACGTCGAACGGCGTCGGAATCGGGCTTGGAAGTAAGGGTACGGGAGGAGAAAAACTTAAGCAATTTAACATTTGTGGTTTCTGATTTGAAACCAGAAACACGCTTAAATCACCAAAGCTACCGACACTTTTAGGATAAATTTAAGGCTTGGTCCCTGAATTTCCTTTAACTCTAAAACAAGCTCCAAGTTTTAAAATATTTCAATTTAGTTTACCAATTTTCACAATTAACCTCCAATTTCAATTTAATATTATTCTAAATTTTTCCGGGTTGTTACAATTCTCCCCCTCTACAAGAAATTTCGTCCTCGAAATTTACCTTATGAAAATAGATGAGGAAATTGAGTCTCCATTGACTCCAATATCTCCCAAGTAGCTTCTGAGGGGCTACGATTACTCCACTGAACTTTGACCATTGGAATACGCCTATTCCGAAGAACTCGCTCATCTCTTTCTAAGATCTGAATGGGCTCCTCTTCATATGACAAATCAGGTCTCAGCTCTACTTCTTCAACCTGAATAATGTGACTTGGATCTGGATAGTATCTCCTCAACATTGATACATGAAAGACATCATGAATACGACTTAGCTCAGAAGGCAACTCAAGCTGATATGCAACAGGTCCTACCCTCTTCAAGATACGAAATGGTCCAATAAATCATGGACTCAATTTACCCTTACGCCCAAATCTCAATACTTTCTTCCAGGGTGAAACTTTCAAAAAGACCTGATCTCCAACCTCAAATTGTATATCTTTCCTTCTCTGATCTGCATAAGACTTCTGCCTATCAAATGCCTCTTTCAAACGGTCACGTATCAATCTGACTGTGTCCTCTATCTCTCGCACTAACTCAGGTCCCAACGTTTTCCTATCACGCAACTCAGTCCAACAGATCGGAGTGCGACATTTACGCCCATAGAGTGCTTCATAAGGTGCCATACGAATGCTGGTCTGATAACTGTTGTTGTAAGCAAATTCAGCCAAAGGCAAAAAGTTCTCCCAGCTACCATGAA